GGAAGACAAAAAGGAAACAAGTAGGAAGAAAGAAAAGCTTATGGAAATAGAAACCTCTATCTTGGCCTTCACCACCCACTTGCAAACTTGCCCATTTTTTTCCTGTTAAATCAAATAAAAGACACCTTCTCTCACAGAACAGTCTCAACTTGCTTAATTTAAACTTTGAGTTAGTATTACAAAGCACGTTTAACGTCACTGCTGTGACACCTACACAGAAAGGGCCTGGCTACAACTCCCATTGAAGTCAGGAGCACAACTCCCACTCATTCCTGTGAAGGAGTATCTAAAACCTAAATTACCCTCCTGTCTCTGAACTTCCTAGTATGGAATGAAAGAGGTCACAAGGGAAGTTTTTGCCCTCACTGAATTACAACAAACAAAATGCATTTTAAGAGCCTACTGGCTGGTCAAGTAATTTATTCCACATAAATGAAATGCATCAGAGTTTGAAGACTTACTATTAAGTAGAAGTTTGAGTTCCACAGTACATGCTTTGTTTTCACGAGGAGTTGTGTACCACCTGTTCCTTCCATTTGCTGGTTTTTGTTGGCTTTTTTTTTTTCCTGAAGACACTGGAATGGAATTAGTCATTAAAGCCCACAAACACTTCCTCAGTTAAGTAACTGGTGCTCAGGAGCTGCAGGCCTCAAAAGAACAACTTCCTCAGATACTCCTTCAATAAACATTTCTCTGTCCCTGCCTCTGGGTCTCACATCTGGTGTTCAGTAGAACGTTAACCGAAGCATTTGCTATCACTCAGAAAACTGCTGCTTTATTTATTTATCTTTAGAACTCTGCATCTTAATATATTTTATGAAATCTGAGGCAACAACAACAACAAAAAACCACTGGCCTTAATAAGCACATCTATTTGTGTACATTTACCACCTAAGGCTTTGAACAACACAAGCGAGCGGGGCTGTGGACGCGCAGTGTGAAGGCCCAGCTGCACCTGCAGGAATAAAGCAAGCCAGCTCTTCTGCTGCACAATACTGACAAACCTGTGTTGCCTTCAGTAGAGTCACACCAAGCGGAAATCCATGAGAGCCAACAGGGCAAACACATCTGGCTCCACTCCTATGAATGCTCCCCACAGAAATAGAGGAGAAAACATTATAGGCACAGCTCTCCTTCAACACTTCCCACCTCACTTCCTCTCAAGGGCACATGGGTTTCCCTGGTCCACAGCCGACCCACTGGCTCTCGGTAGGAAGGCATCACGTGGGAGCCATCCTGCTTCCCCTGTCTGAGCACAGGAGCATCACACAGCTCTGCCAGGCACACGCTCAGCCTATGAGGCAGGGCTGCTTAACGTCGCAGCTCGATGGCTCCATTCCTGAACAGCTGGATGCAGCCCAGAACACGTGCTGTTCTAGCTCTTCAGTGCACTCGCTGGACCACAGCCCTGCTGCCCCCAGAGCCTGCAGCACTGCCCAATGCAGCGCAAGGCAGCATGCTGCTGGGAAGCACAAGAGCTCCCCAGATGAACAAATTCTGCCTCTGCCTACAAGAGGAGCACTAAGAACAATAAGGCAAGCTGTGCTTCCAACCTCCTGGATTTATTTTTTCCCATAAGCTCAAGTTCCTTGTGACTTTTACGTGTGCAGCCAAGGTTCCGTTTAAATAGCTTCTGCCTCACGTGACAGAACACGATCTCTTTCTAGCCAAGGTATTTAGCAGCCCTTAGCATCAAACCAAAGATACTGGATACGACGATTTTAATGCCTTCAAAAGGGAAATGAGTCTAGCATTTCAGGCTTTTTTTTTTTTTTTTCATGTATCACGAAGAACATCACAGAGGAAACCTAATAGGCAAAGGAGCCAGCCTCAGTATAACATCCTTGTTGCACTGCCCTCACTCCCATACAACACACATGGCACTGCTCTGTAGAGGAATCCCTGCCATAGGAGCTGGCAGTGTGGCTGAAGCCATTCAGCTTCTGCTCCCAGCTGTAACGTGGGAGACACTGCTATTGATGGCCTACGTAACAGCTGTGTAAAACGACTTGAGGTGCATTACCTCACACTGGGAACTGGTGATCCAGCTGGAGTGATGACATTACTGCAAGAGATCAAGTGCCTTCTTACAATCATTTATTTGTTGCTGTATAGCCAGCCACTTCTACGGAATAACCAGACAAAAACAGCGCTAGTTGTAAAGATTGAAGTAGGAAAGACTTCATAGTGCAAGTGGTGATCACAGCTGCCATAACTCTTAACAGCACAGAGGTAAACTTTCAAGTAGCACTCCCTTCTGTTTACAGGATGTTTAAAACACAAGTTCAACCCATTTTTCCACACCTCACATTTGACAGAGAACAGAGATCTGCAAAATCAAAAAGCTTTTCTCAGATTCAGTAGAAAGGCAGAGGATCTCCAGAATAGGCTCAACCACACGTGACCTTCACAGGCCTCCTCCTGAGGTGCTGATCCACAGGCTGAAGACTGCCTTGCAAGCAATATCCACACACAAAGGAATGTCTATCTAACATTCAGTTAGATAACATGGTTCCTTGGGCCTCTGAAAGTATCTTTTTTTCCATACCACTTGTAAATTAGCCATGAATTAGTACCAATATGGAAATTATTTCTAACGTAAGTTAATATTCCTCCTGTGAAATACTTGGTTAAGATTTAAAATTACATTTTTGTCGCACGCTTTATTTTTCAGATTCTCAGTAAAACAACACTGCTGCACTGCCATTTCAGATTTTGTTTTGAGTATGTGGGTTTCACTGCCATGCAAGTATGAGAAATTAGGTAATATTTAGGTTCAACATGTGCCAGAGCTTGCACAGACAGGCCTGAGAGAAACTGTCTTGCTTTCATTCCTTTGTGCAAGATCTAAAACTACTAGTGATGAGCAAGGTGACAGAAAGTGCTTTGGGGCAGTCCAGAAAGCAGTGCAAGAAAGGATGAAGATTTTTTCAGTGTCATTATGTGAGCTGTCTAGAAGGTGAAGTGAGGGCTATAAGGACAGCTATCATGACAAAAGAGAACTGAGCACAGGGTGCTGTGGAAAAGTAACAATCTGAACGTGGCTCAGAGTTATGCAAGACAAGGAGCAAATACTATCAGACAGAACAAGGGGGAAAAAAAATAAATCGAAAAGGTTTACTCAGCCTTGGTCTGGGGCTGCTCCTGCAGCCAGTGCTGTCTCATCGGCTAATTCAAATGGGATTCAGGCTGCTGATTAATTAGGATAAGGTTTGGTTTTTTTCTTCTCCATTTATGCAAGAACGCAACTTTTCCCACAGTGACCTGTGAGCAGCTCAAAAACAGCTGAAGGTACCGACATTCTGCTGTTTATTACTGGCAACATTGAATTATCACTAATACCCAGGAGCAGACAGGAGTTCACCTCACCCTTTCAGCCAAAAACTCACCAGCCCGCATTGACTTTTCTGGCTGCATGCCTCCCTGTTTGCAAAGACCTTTTGGTAAAAGCAGATGGCAAATTCAATACCTGCAATCATGACTTTTGAAGCTCAGACTCGCAGTAGCGAATCAAAAGGCAAAATGAAGTCTCTTCAAGTTCACTGTTGCTCCTTGCAAGGAGCACCAATCAAACAGCTTTGGATACACTTTAAGCTCAGACTCTCAGCTCTCTCCCCACCAGTTTGCTGGAGTTAGATTCATTACAGCTTTCAGTGACCCAGCTCTTGTTGACTACTTAACTTTCTGCGTGATGAATCACTTATAATCCCCAAAAAGCCCTGACATGCAGAGGCTGACAAGGAGCATCTAAAAAGAAGTACCTCCCAGTCACTGGGCTCAAAGCTAGAACTTTTCTGGATGGACAAGGAATATCAAACACCATGAGCAGGACCCAGCAGCTTCATTTCATGTCTCTTGACAACTGGAGGCTCACTGACACCCCACTTGCTTCTCTCACTGCCTTCCACAACCACCAAGGCTTACCTGACTGCAGCAATTCTTACCAGCTTTCTGAAAACACAAACTTTATTTTCTGTACTGCAGGCTGTCTGTAGTCCAGGGTGGGGGAAGGGGCTGCAGAAAGAGCAGAAACTTCACAGCCACATGAAACCACCCCCAGTACAGAGATGCAAACAATGCATGTCCCATTTTAGACTCCATTCCCTACTCAGAGCAAGAATCAGCTGCTGGAAAAAGGGAAGAAAATACACAGAACTATAACTTAATCCCAGCTGCATATTATCACCAGATAAGCCTGGTGCTTGAAAATTTCAAGTAGCTGAGTATTTTTTGGCTGAGGAAGAACAACTAAATGAAGTGAGAATGGTATTTACCAACACTCCGTGTTGCTTTTCGTCTGTGCCCTTCAAATAACCAAAAGCTGTCTGCATCCATGACACAAACCTTTCTCTAAATAGATAATGCCAGAGCGCAGTGACAAACTCATGTATCAGCTTTTTTGTTTGTTTGTTTTTTACATCTGGGCTGTGTTGCAGATTTGAGCATTCTGTAAACAACCTCAACCAAGCATTTCAACAAAGCAGAGGAGCAATACCTCAAACAAGGTGTGTGTGTGCAGACTGACACCCGGGTAATCAGTTCACACTGCAGAGAACATGGTTGGCAACAACCAACCCTAAATTTGAAATGCAAATAGAGGAATATGCAACATAAGATCCAGCTCACAGTGCTTGTACTCAGTAGCACTTGCATTTGGATAGCTCAGCTCGCACTGCAAGCCAGCCATTTCCTATGGAAAACCAACACACGCACAAAAAGAATTTAACAACACCTCAGTGAGTTTTATTTTTCACCTAAGTTTCCACATCTGCACCACCAAGTCCTCCACTGCACAGCCCAGGAAGCGTACTCAATATCTTTGATCAAATTACCCTCAAAACACAAAACACACACATGCAGGGTTAAGAGGAATCCTGTCAAACTGATGCTTGAACAAGGCTCAGAGATTCAGAGGCAATCCATTGGGGTACAGTCAGATGTGCAGCATTGCCAGTGATCTGAAACAACCGACATCAGACCAACAAAAAGAGAAAACTCACTTTTGGTGTAGTTCTCACGTTGGAAGTCTCACAATACTTCAGTTCAGGTTTCCACAATCTGAAACAAAGCAAAACCCCTCGGTTAATTGCAGCAAGGGAATTTTTTTTGTTTTCCCCCAAAATGAATCGCAATTCCTGAATTGCAACCTGTGAGTAACAAAATAACCTCCTTCTCTGCTTTTGTTAACATTCAGAATTACTCTGAATTAACTTACATTAATTACTTACTGATATGTATGAGACCGAGTCACACCACAGAGGCTGGACTGTTCAGAATGCTTAGTTTCACATCAAGTAGATCATCACCGAAAAACAGAATCCAATGAAACATGAGCTACACTGATGGCTTCTATTAGCATCAGGCTCACTTAAACTGAACCCCTTCTCTCTTTACAGAAGGGAGACAAGCTGCAAGCAGAATATCTTTCATGTATGTAGGTTTACAGGTAGTGATTCACCAAAAATAACAAAAATGAGGTGATAACGCCAAAAAAACAGAAGTGAATCAGCAAACAAAGAACATAGATAATAGAATGCATTTTGCCAACTGCTTCCTTTCTTTCCCCCCACGAATCCCACAGATGTACTGCATAACAGCAGAAGAGATGCTTCACAAGCTGCAGACAAGACTGACGGGATCTGTAAATTGAGCAAAGCTGCAAGGGAGAAGTGCTGCCCAACAGTCACAAGAGAGCTCTATTCTGTGCTCTGGTACCACCATATCTTAAGATGAATATGATATCACAGCAGCATAAGTGAGGATTAAGTACTGCTTTGCAAATCCTGGGAAAGGTTGGACAGGAGCGAAGTACTCACATAGTGCAAACTGTTGCTATTAACAAATTGAGGCAAATCGCTCAACAGGAGGGAAAAACAGGCACAATTTCCTTCCTACCTTCACATCAAAACTCAACAAAAAAGACCACTTTCCAGTACCATCGCTCCTAATCAACATATATCTCACCTGGACAACTAACTTCCGCCAAAATACAGCTAAGAAATCACAGCTGAACAAAGCTGTTCCAAACAGTCACTGTTTGTCAGGGGGATGATAAATTCTAGCAAGGATAAAGGCACTTTGTACTTTTGGTTAACTCTGCCATGCCCATAAGCACAGGTATTATCACTGAAAGCAATGGGAATCTTGCCACTGACTGCGTCCAACTCAGAAACCAAGCACGCAAAGTGAAGGCCTAAGTTAGCACAAGGGAATGACTGAATCACAAACAGAAAGCAAGGATCTCACCCCTTTTTGATATGAGATGACATTCTCAAAGTGTGGATGCCCCATCCCTGGAGGCATTCAAGGCCAGGCTGGATGTGGCTCTGGGCAGCCTGGTCTGGTGATCGGTGACTTGGCACGTAGCAGGGGGGTTGAAACCAGATGATGATCATTGTAGTCCTTTTCAACCCAGCCCATTCTATGATAGCAAAAACACACAGGTTTGCATTGCATGCTGCTGTCACTGAGCAAATGCCGAAAGCAAAGCCAAGAGAAAAGTGGAACAAAACAGCTCCGCTCTTTCTTCTTTCCTCCCAGTAGCTTAAAATGAAAAGTCAGTTGTTACAATACGTTGGCCAGGCGTGGTTCCTATTATCTTCGGTTAATTCCATATGTCTGAGAAGGAAATCAGCTCTAAGCCGGTTAGACTTGCTAAATGAGATTTGCCTAAGGCCCCACCCCCAGGGGCAGTGCCATGCACCAGAGATTTGGCATTCTTCAGAAAGATGCTACTTGTCCAGACACTGCTAATAAGGGCCAGCAAAGCACAACCCTTTAATGATTTACAGCGTATTCATTCGCCTCTTAAGCAAAACTTCACTTTGCACCTCCTAATTTCCAAAGAGCTCCTAGTCTACACCCAAAGGAAGACACAAGTAGCTCCATTCTACCAAATTTCTGATGAGCACATAAAGGAGATGCACAGAAGCTGGTGTTTCCAGCAAGAACTTCCAGCATCTTTAAGGACTAGTCCAAGTTTTAGACACTCTAGACTCATCCTAGTACCTTGGGTCATGATAACAGGGACACAGACTTGTTGCTAGCCAGGCAGTAGGGTTGTAAAACACAGATCAGACACTTATTTATCCTTCTGCTTCACTTACTCTCTATAAATTCTGCTTTGAGAACCTCCAAATTTCCAGTATCACAGCCCTGACTCATACGGACAGTAGTGAACAGCCAGGATACATTTAAAAGAAGACTGATAATAAATGAAGTTCAATGCCAGCTGTTTGACTCAGAGAAAAAACTAGTAAGCACTGCTGTGTGTTGGCATTTTGTCTTCTGAATGCTTGTTGGCTACTAAAAATCAGGAATTGCTGTTAAAGAACACGTCTATATTGAGTATTTTATCTACCCCTTTCCTGTAACTACAGCCACATTTGCCAATAGTGTCAATTTTTATGTCATGCGTGCCCACAAGGAGTCACACTTACATATCTGGCTACTGAAGTCTCTCACTGGCAACTTTCAAGCAACTTACCCCAGAGAAGTCAAGTTGTCTGGTATTTGCTACGTTTCAACCTACGTAGGCCCTGAGAAAGGGGCATATGCTATGAAGAGAGCCTGTTTAGCTAAGATACCCAGCTGGATGCATCAACATAACTTCTACCACATTTCACTGGGCACATTTCATTTTAGAAGATGCAGGTGGTTCTGGCTAAATGATACACTCTGCAAATCTGAAGGCAGAAGAGATTGGGCAATGGTGACGGTGAAATGACAGCACCAACTGCTCCAACAGAAAGAAGCAACAATCATAGCTGATCTGAAATACTGAAAGACAGATTTCAAGTAACTGCACAAGAGGCCAGCCAAGTGCTGAACAGGTAATAAAAACATGAAGGTAAACTACTCTGCGGGGCACAGGAAGCTGAAACAAAATGGAGAAAGAGTCGTTTAAGGAATATTAAGAGCAGCCTCCTGTTGATAAGTCAGCTGGACCAGATTGAAGTAGTCTGCAATTATTTAAAAACAAAAACTAACGAAGGAAACCACTGAAACTGCAAGCTCATGGAAGATGGAACTCTGAAGTGCTGCCATAAGATAAGCAGAAGGCCACCTGAAAAGGAAAGAGGAACATGGCAACCCAGACAACTAGTGACCTATCACTCTAACACAGATGCTTCAAACAAAGTTATCAATCTTAAACACCCAGAAGATTATAATAATCCGAATCAGTCCAGCTCTATTAAAAAATATATAAAAAAATAATAAAGACAAACTGATCCAGCTGGTTTTGTTTGTTTTGCAAAATAACATTCTGGGAAAAAGGAAGGCTGGCACAGATGCTGTGTTCTGCAGGGGTTGGAAAGAGCTCTCAGATGTCCTGTCTGGTGGTCAGCTGAAAGCACTGAGCTGCAAGAGTTTGGAAGCATTTCATTAGATCCAAACCTGTCAAAGATGAACGCCATAAAATTGAATGACATAAAGGCTGCATTGCTTAGAAGAAAAGGAGAGGACAAGCCAGTACTCTGACAGCAATCCTGCAAGGCTGCAGCTGTGCTTGTCGCCAGCAGCCCACTTGCCCTGTGAACGGGTGGCACAGGAAACCCCTGGAAAATCTGCTGCTTTGACTCCAGATGTTATTGTTTCTCTGTTGCAAAGAGCTGCCTTGCAGAGTCAGCACAGAGAAACAGGTTTCAGCACACAGCTTCTTCCGGCAGCATCTTAGCTGAAGCCCAGCGGGCTGAGCCCAGGCACCAGACTTCACACAGAAGCAGCTGGGGAGCAACCCACGACCCGCTGCTGTGCTTATTCTTGGGCTGAGACAAGTCACATCTCACAGAAAAGCAAAGTGAGCAACTGGATATTCAGCTTCCACAGACATCTTCCAGAGCTCTTCTGTCAGAGCTGTCAACCCAGTACTGTTAACACTGATCTGCCACACAGACGTGCCTTAACACAGGAGATAATCCTCCAGAGTATAAAGCAAGCAGTTGTTGAACATGTCTGGAAGACTTGCAAAGGAGATTTAGGCTAATCTAACTAAATTAGGTACTTACTGAAGCAGCATACCACCTTCACTGGATGCTCCAAAAAAAACAAAACCAAAACCAAGCAGGACACAGCTATCTTGAGGAACCTGCCTCCACAACCGAGCTCTGCGTCGCACCTTCCTTCCTGCCTCACACATTCACCTTTCCTTGATCTGCCTACTACAGAAAACAGACAGTCCAAGAGGGGTTTTTTTTGTTGCTCGCCTGCTCGCATGTTACGAAGCCATGTGGCAGGAGCTGCAGGTGCACGCTGAAGCACTTGTCCCTGCCAATACACTGGGCTAATTCACGTTTTGGACCAAGGTTCGCATGGGAAGCCTACTGCTGCAGCCCACCGACAGCCATCTGCATGAGAAGAAAACAAATGCATCTTTTGTTTCTATAAAGAACATCAGACGTTTCAAAGCACACTTCATCTGTAATTGGGAGAAGACTGTTCCTCGTGTGCTGTGGTATTTCTGATACCATCTCTTACAACCTACATGGTAAGCTCAGCGAGTTCTTAAAACCCCAGAATTTTTTTGCTTGCTTAGACATGAAAAATGATCAGAGCTGAAGAGGCGAATGACGTAACAGATAGGTGGGATATCTTCCCTGCTGTGGAAAAAGGAGCAAATACACATTCAGTTTCATTAATGGACTTTGAGAGCCTACTTTCCCAGAGGCTATATGCCACACACACCCTTTCAACTTTAATCTTCCAGTTTCAGGGATTTTCACACTGAAAGTACGTTGCATGCTGCTGATGCTCCTGCAGCAACAGAACCTCAAAGCTTCTGTTTGGTTCTTTGATTGGTCCTGTTATCCCTTTACCACTCTTTAATGCTTAAACATATTTTCAAAGACTCTACAAGCTGCAAGGGTAAAAACGGTGCACAAAAATATCTAACAAAAAAAAAAAAAAGACTTGAGTTTCAAGAGCAATCTGTGTTTCTCTAACTCTGCTCTCGTGAACTCCCAATTCACTGGCATTAATGCTGTACGAAATAACACAGTTGGAAGCCTTCAGTGAGAAGACAATTGCCTGAAACTTGTTTTCTCTTCCATATCACTTAA